TTTATGTAATTGAATATAAAAGGATATTGCTTGCAGTGACAAATGCAGAAACAAACCATTCATTGAATTTATCTACAACTTTCAGATACATATTGTTTGTTGTCAAAAGGTGCTCATCCACTAAATCCAGAGCTGCATGGGCTATAAATTGGCTAAGATGTCGATGATCATCTTTCTAAAACAAAAAAGAAATGAATAAAAATTCCAACTTTTACATTATAATAGAATTCCAATTAAAATCAAAGTTTGTTTAACTGAAATTCTGTATTATGCAAGATGAATTGCATAGGAGTACACTGTTAACAAAGAGAATGTAATATACAGTATAATTTATTTCACATATCTTGGTTGGACAATATGTAATATTTGAAGGTTATAGAATTAAAAAAAAATTTACTTTGTGGATTTCTCACAAAAATAGGAATTTTTTAAAATCTTAATTGTAATCATAAAACTTTGATTTTATAACAATATTCTTGTATTTAGTTAATCACTGCATCAAACATTGTTTTCTGAGTTTTGATTATATGAGATACTCTTGGTCCTATTACCTTGGATAATCAAAATGCCACTGTACTTCCTTCCTCTTTATATTTCTTCTACGTGGTACGATCCAAAAGTTCAGGGACTGCAGTAATGTATGACAACAAAAGCATGTATTTAAAGTTACAGCATATGAAATGGATTCCATCAAACCACCCCTACGTGTTCAGGTTGATTTCGCCCATGTCACATGGTTAAACCGCGAGTGCTGTTGTTTTTTTTTTTGGAGATAGTTACCTTTGTTTTGCTACGTAATAAATATGGAGTTTCAAGAATAGTGCTGCAACATTAAATTTTGTCAGCGTTTAGGTAAAACATCTATGAAGAGTTTAAAATTGCTAAGAAAGGTGTATGGTGATTCTACCATGGTGAAATTAAAGGTTTAAAGAGGGCCGAAAATCCATCGCAGATGATGAACGCTCTGGCCGACCTTCAATTTCATGGAACGAGTAAAATGTTGAGTTGGTCTCTCAATTATCTAGACATTTTACATCGTTTGAGGGAATCCATTCGTCGTAAACGGCAGCAGATTTGGCGAAGTGGAAACTAGTACCTTCTGCATGACAATGCACCTGCACATCGGTCCCAAATGGTCATACAGTATCTCGCCAAATCTCAAATTAATGTGCTTTCACACCCCGCCTATTCACCGGACTTAGCTCCGTGTGATTTTTATTTGTTTCCATCAATGAAAAAGCATTTGCAGGGATGCCATTTTGTGTCATCAGATGAGGCGAGAGCAGCATCGCAGGAGGCCTTATGGGAGGTTTCAAAAAATGGCTTCCAGCAGTGCTTCCAGAAGTTATATGAGTGCTGGCAAAAGTGTATCGTTGTCCAAGGTGATTATTTTGAAGGTGGTTGTGCATCGGCAATATAAACTTTTTAAGGTAAGGAATTTTAAGCCAAGTCCCCGAACTTTTGGATCGTACTACGTATTACTATATGATATTAAAAAGTCTAAAAACCTATAATCCAGCAATTTTTAAAAATACATGCAAACATTTTCATGCATGTTGAATGGGCATCATTAGGCAAACTAATCCCCAGCTGCTGAAACAACAGGGGATTACTGTACACATGTACAGAGGAAAGGTGATGCAAGACGAGAAAGGAAAGGGGGAGGTTAGTAAGATTTTTAGCTTTTCTTATCCAAAGAATGCATAATCACTCAGGTTTATAGAAAACCTATACACCACCCAACCTTCATTCCTGTGTCTTCCTACGATCCCACCTTCAAGATGGCTGGGTTGAGGGCGTTGGTTCATATAGTCTTCACCCATTCATTGGACATGCATGACAGAGATACAGAGCTTCTAACAATCGTCTGGTATGCAACAGCACAGCTACTCCCCACAGACTATTAAAGGCTTTATATGTTGTCTTTCCTCCACCGTTCCTGCCTTGCCAAAAAAATGCACCCAGGACACTTACAACAAGAAGCTAGCCTCCATTTACAAGGAAATATCCAAAATGTAACTTCTGTTCAGCCTTCTGCAGGAGTCCTTTGATTTCTTCCCTCCTCTGCAATGCTAAAGACCGTCTGGACATGCACCTCCAACCAGGCATCTACACTATCCCCATCAACAATCATGTCCAGCTGCTACTTAGAATACATAGGTGCTACAACATGTCCTTTAAACACCTGACTCAAGGAACATCAGATTTCCATCACAAAAGGATTGGCCAATGCTGTATTGGCTATCTATGCCTCTGATCCCAATATCAATGTGGACTTCAGCAGTGCATGCCTCTTACATAGCTCTTCCAGGCAACCCTTTCTCAAACATCTTGAGCAGGTGGAAATACAAAAGGCCACCACAATAACACTGCTATTAATTTTTGCAATGTTGACTCCTTCCCCACAGCATGGAAGTCTTTCTTCAAACTGTAAATCTTACTAACCTCCCCCTCCTCTTTTGTCTTATGTCACCTCCCCTCTGCAAACATGTATGGCAATCCTCTAGTTTCAGCAGATGGGGATTACTTTGTCTCATGATGCCCATTCAAGAAGGGCAAAAACATTTGCACGTATTTTAAAAACTTGTTGGATTATTAGGTTTTTACAGTTTTTAATTCAAGTATACCGAGGTTTGAGTGGTAGTATTACTATATGATATAATACTAAAACTGAAAATCAAAAGAAATTTATTTCCTCCCAAATATAGTTTTTGTAGCTGTAATAATTTGATATATACATACATATAATTTTGTTTACAGCAATTATTAAAAATACTACTAAATTTAAATACTTATATTTAAAAATACTTAGCAAACTGAATCAAGGATTAGATGCAATAATGAGATCTAATGTTTTCAGAAAACAGCAGCGCTATCAAATTATTTTCATCATTATTTTTATTTCATGCTAATTAAATAAATAATCAATTGTTCCTAAACTGTTTTATTTTGGTGTAGGCCTATTTTATTTAGACTAGGCTAGTTATGTAAATTTTCTTCAATTAGTGATAGGCATATTATTTTTCTATGTTAATATCTCTTTTAATAGGCCATTATTTTTAACAGGCCATTGAATAAAGCTTTATGTGCTTACTATTAATAATTCATTATAGGAGAGGAGAAAGGAAAGTAGTTTGTCTTCTGCTGAAGGAGGACACAGTGCATCCGAAATATTTGTGAAAAAAGTATATTTACTAATTTACATTATACTGTATTTTTCCTTTCCTTTCCTTTTCTCCTTTCCTATAGCCTACTGAATTATTAACCCAGTTTAATTATCTTTTTATTCTTCAAACATTTAAGTTTATACCATATGTAGTTGGTATTGTAATATACTTTGTTCAAAAAAGGTTAATAAAATCACTTAGGCCTAGGCCTATGTCTTTAAAATTATGTTTTATTTTACACTTTTATACTGTTCAAAACTACAGAGTAATTTTCAATGATGAATATTTAATCTTATCTACTTATTTCAATTTAAAAATTTCACTAGAAAATGTCAAGAAAATGAGCTGTACAAAAAATCATTTTTTAAAAATTATATATCTTGGGAACTAAATATCATGGAGCAATGTTTTATACAAAAATGTCTTGCATTTAATCTGTAGTACCTCATTATTAATGTCCCTGTTGTCATAGGCAAGTTCTTATGGTGATATAATGGGTGTCTCCTTTTTCACCTTCCAGTGTCTCATATTTTATCTTTTGAAAGAAAAATATGAGACGGAAAAAAATTTTTTGCTCAACATTTCTCATACATACATTAGATTTAACACCATCTGTAGACCTTGTCATGTATTTCTCTTTGTAAAATACTAATCTTAACAAATACTGTTGCAAAAGTTTTGAAAAGACTCTCATATTCATCCACATAACCCTATATTAGAGAATAAAACCATAGGAAAAAAAGTATTCCTCAAAAATTATTCCATCAAAAAATGATGATCATCATCATAAGTAATGTTATGTTAAATTGTAATTAAGTTTTTAAGTAAGATATATTTTACTCTTGTGATAGTTTCTGTAGATTAGTATGAGATTGCTAGATTGAACTATAAAAATTTTGAATTCAAATCATTATCACTTTTTTGGGGTAAATTCATTTTTTATCTACATTATCAATTTTTTTAAGATTTACAAGACAATACTATTACTATGTGGATTCAAATTTTTTAAAATAAAATAAAAAAATTTTAACTTGAGTGTTTTATATATTTTATGTGAATCATGTTGAAATTTCCAAATGTGAGAAAAGTGCATAACATGCAGCATTACAGCTTACTGTATTTAAAGAAAATCATAATCTTAAAACACATATTAAAAAATTAAATTTGAATATTGTTCTATACTTTGAAAAGAAAATTAAAATTTCAAGCTTATTAAGCTATATAATATACAGTGGGTGATCGGTTAACGAACATAATCCGTTCCAAGACTTTGTTCGCTATCCGAATTGTTCGTTAACCAATTATGAATTTACCATAGGTTTGTATGGGAATTTGATTAATTCGTTCTGGAGACATCCCAAAATAAAAAATATATACTTTCTTACTACGTTTATTTATATGTATACACAGATGTGCATTTTTATTAGTTATGGTTTTTTTGTTTGTGGTAGTTAAATAATCTGTCTAATGTCAATTGCTATTCTCTCTTCTTCGGGATTTTTCAGAAGTAATTAATAGCATTGTAATTGTAGAGATCCCCAAGCCTATTAACCTCAACCTGGTTTGTATGCCATTCTAAGACCGTTGATCTGACATCTCCCATTTCTTCAAAAGATCTTTAATTAATAGCAGATATCGGCATTAATCCTCTTTTTCAGAATAAAACATATCTCGCCGAGTTTCTTGGTGTTCTCTATTCAAGAGTTCTTGACATTCTTCTGTCGTCAGATCCGTTTCAGGTTCCATTATGAGCTCTGCATTGTTCTTTATTTCTCAGATGTGATTTTTGTTATTCCTTTAGCTGCTTGAGTCTTCTCGATAATACAGTATCTTTCTTAGATAAGATTGAACTGCGGCCTACTGTAGACCTGTTCAAGCCATACTGTCCAGCAACATCAGACATCTTTTGCGCACTCTCTACCTTTGCTATTATACTCTCATCTTTCGAAAATAAAAACCGACACAAAACTTAATGAGTGCCCGCCCGACAGTCTCGCGAATACTATAAAAGAATTGTTTGTCAGAAAAATAAAAGGTTGGAATTACAAGGGAGTATTTCAAAGTTCGAGGAATACTATCCGATCAGCATATACTGGGTTGAGCGTCGATGTTGACGTCTCCCGCGCTCCAAAAAGTTACCTGAAAACAAAGGAAAATCAGTCGGTATTTGCTATTTTTGTCGCTTCTTTTTATGTCTGTTCAGTGAAGTGTTCGTTATCCGATCATGTGTTCATTGTCCGATCATAAAAATCTTTCGCGAAAGTGTTCGTTATCCGATTTGTTCATTAACCGATCACCCACTGTATTATAAATGTTAAAGTTTGACATGTGAAGAATGTAAATATCAATTAAACCAATTTTAATATTAATACCAAACAAATACACCTACAAAAAGTATAATGGTAGCTTTGTGTAATGAATGAAAATTCTTCAAAAGTATCTTTAGTGCTTGTTCCCTAAATCTTCACCGTATAAATTTTGGACCTAATTATATAATAGAAGATTTATAGAACAAGCAAACATCGGAAGCTACGTAAATTGGTTAGTTTAGAAAACAATAGTTCAAACTATATTGCATATTAAAAATTGATAATTTAATATTATAACACTGAGATAAAATACAAATAAAATAACAGCCATAGAAGTTATTAATCGGTAAAAACATAAGTTATTTTGACAAAGCTGTTGGCAAATTCTTCTCTTACATCCAGTTTATCTGCCATTGGTATAAATTTACATATCCAATCACTTTATTTTGAGTTCTATTCGATGGCATATTTCCAGAATATTTCAACGACTGATTAATGACAACCGAACGATTACACGATCGATAATCAGAGCATTAAAAAGGATAAAGAAATATAAAGAATTCAGGAAAGTATACAAACCATTTTTAAGTATAAGTTACTTTTAGGTCAACAAATATATATGTATATATGGACCATTTACCTAAAAGTAACTTCTACTCCCAACGCTTAATAACTTGTTAATAAATAGTATTACATGTGAATTTTATTTATTTGATAACAGAATATCGCAATTTTTTATAATTTTTATCATTTATGGATAAATTATTATTTCTTTAATAGTAACATTAATACTATAGTCACGTGTTTTCTAACCTAGTACATTAACGCCGATATCTACAAACAAGCTGATGAAACAGTTTCTATTTTTAAGGTAACGAATTAGACCGAGATACCTTTCCCTCCGATCTGCTAGGCGGAGAAAATTCCATTTCAAAAACAGGATTGTCATAATGCCCAACAATAACAAAATAATACTTCCCCGACATTTTCTAATCCGACCGACGTTAATGTCTATGGCCGATCGCTTCGACAGATGGCCATATAAAATCATAAATTATTATATTATTCGTATTTAAAACGTATTAATTATAAAAAAATCAATTACTTATTAAAATTAATATTTATAAAATTTCGATAATATTAATTATTTGAACTTATATATATTTTTAATGAGCTTAACATTTTTAATT